TCTCAAAAACACCTAAAATGACGTTCGATTGGAGCATCACCGCACCATTTTGAAGTTTTGCGTTACTTTACCGTGAAAAATTGAAGTTTTCGGTTGAAGATGCCCTTAAAAATCACAAATTGCCACTTTACATCGACATTTTAATTCATCAGCTATATGTTTAACTATAAATTCTAACCCGTCGATTCTTTAAGCAAACGGCTATAGTAATGGAGCGCAGAGCGGCAATGGAAATTCACAGCACCAACAAGCTGATCAGCCGCCACCACTCTGCTCCACCTCCTCCTCCTCCACCCACCCTAACACGCCACGCCAAACTTCTCCTCACCGTCCTCAACTGCCTCCTCCTCAGCGTCGGCAACTGCAGCGGCCCCATTTTCCTCCGCATCTACTACCTGCACGGCGGCCGCCGCATTTGGCTCACTTCCTTTCTTGAAACCGCCGGATTCCCCCTCCTACTTATCCCCCTCTCAATCTCCTACCTTCACCGCCGCCGTTCCAATCCTTCAACGCCTCTCCTCCACCTCACTCCCCGTCTCCTCCTGGCCTCGTCTGTTCTCGGGGTCATCACCGGCCTCGATGACTTCCTTTACAGTTATGGCCTCAACTTCCTCCCTGTCTCCACCTCCTCCGTCCTCATCGCGTCTCAGCTGGCTTTCACGGCGATCTTCGCTTTCTTAATAGTGAGGCAGAAATTCACCCCCTTTTCGGTCAACGCCGTGGCGTTGTTAACCATTGGCGCCGTCATCCTGGCTCTGCATACGAGCGGTGATCGGCCGGCGGGGGTGACTGCGGCGGGGTATTGGAAAGGGTTTGTTTTGACCATTGGGGCGGCGGCGCTGTACGGGTTGTTTTTGCCGTTGGTGGAGCTGACTTATGACAAGCTAGCTGGAAGGGCGGCGGTGACTTACACTCTGGTCATGGAAATGCAGCTTGTTATTGGATTTTTTGCCACTGGATTCTGCGCCGTCGGGATGATTGTCAACAAGGATTTTCAGGTGAAATTTAATTACGTATCATAACTGTGAAATTTATAATCGCCGGCTCTTTCTGGAGCTCTCAAAATATTTTTAATAAAAAAACTTCCAGTCATCCTCCTCATCTCCATTGTTTCTTCTTCACTGAGGATTAGCAACTAAACTAGTTTTTTCCTTCTAGCACAGGCAATCCCAAGAGAAGCAGC